CTGGCCTTGAACACTGCCAGGGATGGGGCAGCCACAGGTTACAAAGAGGGTGCAGTGAGCACAGGATGCTCTGCACCCAGTCAGGGGGTTTTACTTCTGCTCATCAGCATTGTTGTCATGAGCTGCAGCTCCTTCAGCAGTCATGAGCAGCACAAGGTGGGTCTGAGAGGGTGCATTGGGAATCACTCGGCTCCTGGGCACTGCTCCAGCTCCAGGCTCTGCCCAGGGTGCTTGTGCCTCCAGGGGCAGGAGCTCTGCTCTGTGCTGCAGTGTCTCAGCTAGACCAGGGCCTTGGCACTGCCTGACCCTGGGCTGCCCCAGGCCAGTCTAAGATGGCATCTAACTGTTGTACCTGGTGGCTTTCCAGACCACTTCTCCATGCTTCAGGTGCTTTGAGACCTGGACCTGGCTTCTTCCAGGATCCAATGTTAGAGTCCTCAGAGTCCAGAGGAATATGCTGGTGCCGGCCTTGCTGCCTTTGACCCTCCCCGTGTCTGCTTTGCCTCTGACAGCTTTCTACACGAGCAAGTATGGCTACAAGATGTGTCTGCGCGTTTACCTGAACGGGGACGGCACCGGGCGCGGGACCCACTTGTCCCTGTTCTTTGTGGTGATGAAGGGGCCGAATGACGCACTGCTCCGGTGGCCCTTCAACCAGAAGGTAGGTCTGGGACAGAGCCCACCGTGCCCAGCAGTCAGTGTCTCCAGATTTGCACCCACCCAAGCTTGTAGATGCCACTGCTCTGGCCTGCTTGGCGAGCAGGAGGAGGAAGGGCTGTGATGTGCTGGCTGCCCAGGGGATTCCCCAGTAGCACTGAAAGCACCGAGTGTGCCACAGGGCAGATGCACAGAAGGGCAGAGGCTGAGGCAGGGGAGCAGCAGCGTGGCTGAAGGCAAGTGGAGCCTCTGTGGGAGTTGAGGGTGAGGGAAGGGGAATGGCCCCATTGCTCAGGGTGCAGCTGATGCTCACCCCGTGTTGGAAGCTCACGTTGTAGGTCTGGGAGTTGCGGGTTTGTGAAACGCTTCAAGGCTGAGCCCATGAGGTTCTGATGCAGGGAGAGGAGATGCCTCCTGTCACTGAGAGACGTCAACACGGACGTGACGGAGCACCCCTGTGGGGTGCTGGTGCTGGGAGTTAGCGCCATGCCAGCTGGGTGCAGGTTCTCAGGTCAGGGTGACAGCTCTGTGCTGCCACCAGAAGTTTCCAGTGAGGGGCAGGATGTGGGGAGGGTTCTGCAGAATGTCACTGAGGTGGTGCTCCCCCGGCCTTGCTCTCAGGCGTTTCTTGGGGCTGTAGGCGTGTGCTGGGCTGGGGCTGTGCTGGTGCTCGCACATCTCACAGGCTTCCAGTGACCGGTCGCCGGGTCAGTGCCGCTTGTTCATCCGCTCTCGTGTGTTTCCACCTTTCCCCACAGGTAACGCTGATGCTTCTGGACCAGAACAATCGGGAGCACATCATTGACGCCTTCCGACCTGATGTGACCTCCTCGTCCTTCCAGCGACCGGTCACAGAAATGAACATTGCCAGTGGCTGCCCCCTCTTCTGCCCCATCTCCGTGATGGAAGCCAAGAACTCCTACGTGCGGGATGATGCCATCTTTATTAAAGCCATCGTTGATCTCACGGGCCTCTAACCCTCGCCTCCAGGAGCAGTGACCGCAGACCCAGCCCCACGTGGGGCATCCCCCTCTTGTGCTGCACTTCAGGCAGGTCTCGGAGCAAGGAGGGGGCAACACGTGGAAGGGGCAAAGCCCTTCCCAGAAAGGAACCTTCACTCTGGGTGGGAATGAGGTGTCTGATGGGAACCCTCTTCCCTGGTGTCGCAAGACCTTCCTGAGAAGAGGGTTGGGTGGACGTTCACGGTTGGTGGGGAGCAAGAAGGGACTGCAGGGATTCGGGTGTGTGAACTGCCGCTGCCTGGGCTCCCCGTGGGAGCCAGCGCAGCTCTTGCTCTGCGCCCTTAGCGCGCATCTGCAGTGCTCCGTTGTAAAAGAAGGGTTTGCCCGGGCTCCACCTGGTGTGGAGGCTCGGCGCAGCAGCCCACAGCGATCGATGTGGTCCTGGGGGCTTCGTGCGCTGTGGGGCCGGGAGGTGCGCGGCCGGCTCGGTGCAAGCCGGGCCAGAGGGGTGAGGATCCCAGTGCTGTTGTGGTGCCGCTGGTGTCTGCAGAGGATGGTGCTGCTCCGCGCTGTGTGGGAGCAGAACCCCGAGTGTGGCTCTTGCCGTGTGCTTGGTGGCTGGTTTAGCAGCATAGAATCAGACTGCTTTGGGTCAGAGGGACCTTAAAGCTCCTCCAGTTTTGCTGTGGCCATGAGTGGCTCTGGAGGGGCAGGTACTCAGGCTGGGCTCCGGGCTTTGCTGCCTTCTCTTCCCGCACCGGGGTCAGTGTTTGAACATGCCCCAGGGCATGGTTTGTAGGTCGGTGCTTGCAGTGATGGTGCAGGAGCCAGCCCAGCACCTGTGCTGCTGCTCCAGGCAGGAGGGTGGGCAGCGGGGTAGGGGGTGGGTCACACTCCTTCACAGCTCCTATGGATCAAGCTTTGAGCCCTGCTTTGAAGTCTCCACGTGGATCTTAACCTGTGCATGAAGGGCTGGGACAGACTCTGCTGCTCCAGCAGCAGGAGCGGGGCAGGAGCCAGCGAGGAGAGACCTGCCTGGTGCAGCGGCTGTTGTTCTGCTGTAGTTACAGGCAGGGCCCTGGTTGTTTCTTCCCCGCGGCAGATGGTCAGTGACTGTGTGTCCAGCTCACAGGCAGCTGCCTGCACCCTGCTCAGGTGTGAGAGGACCCATCCTTTGTGCACCCCCCCAGCCTCTCCCTTGGGACGCACCCAGCCTCATGTTGCTGCTCTCACCCTGTTGCCTTAGGAGGAAAGAAAAGCCAAACAAACCCCAGAACTCCCACACATGCTTCCAACAGATGAGGCCTGAAGGCAGCTGCCAGCCTGGAAATGGGGAAGAAAACCATTTCTGGACATTCAGCTGTTGGGAATTGAGTGTATTTTATGGGGAGAAAGAGCCTTGGTGGGAGCTGATGCAGCTTTGCTCTTGGGGTGCTGGACACCCATTGCCACTGGCCAAGCAGTGCTGGGGGGACCTGTGGAGACACCAGCTCGGGGCAGGGGGGAGGGTTCAGGGTCGGTTCCCCCATCCCAGCATGTGCCTGGAAAACGGGTGGAAGAGCCCAAGCTGGGGGTGAAGCTCAGGCCGGTCCCTCCCAGCTGGGCCCTGCTTCAGGAGCTGTTAGCTGCAGTGCTGTGGCTGCAGCGTGGCCTGAGCTGTGTGCAGGGGCTGGGGGTGGCTGGGCTCCACCTGGGGCACAGGGTGGGTAAGGGAACCCCAGCGCAGCCGGGCAGCAGGAACAAGATTATGTTCCTTGAGGATGGGGACTGGTCAAAACCACCAATAAAAGCTGTTTGAAGAGCATTGGTGTTGGCTGGTTCATGGGCCACTGTGTCTCTAGCAGTGCAGGGGCAGGAGCACCTTGGGATGGGGAGGGATCCTTCCCCAGGGTGGGTTTAGCCCTGCAGGGATGATGGAAGCAGCCAGGGAGCTCACAGTTGCAGCACCCACAGCACGAGTGTAACTTGCTGGCTTTGCCTTCCCAGTTGTGCAGTTCCTTCTCCAGATGTCTTGTAGGCCCCCTTTAGTGCCAAGGGACTTAGTGCTGTAGGTACAAGTAGAAACCTGGAGAGGGGCTTTGGCCAAGGGCCTGTAGGGCCAGGCCAAGGGGAATGGCTTTAACCTGCCAGAGGGGAGACTGAGATGAGCTCTTAGGCAGAAGCTCTTCCCTGGGAGGGTGCTGAGGCGCTGGCACAGGGTGCCCAGAGAAGCTGTGGCTGCCCCATCCCTGGATTCTGTGATTCTCCTTTTCTCTCTTCCTGTCATTTCACGGCCTCCTGCCTGCCCCTTGCAGCCCAGGGCAGGCAGGCTCAAGCTGCTCAGCTCCATCTGGGTGCCCCAAGCACCCACAGGCACAGCAGGATGATGCTTCTGGCCTCAGTTCTGCTTCAGCAGAAAAACAAACTCACATTGCAAAGATGCTTTAGCAGAGTATTTATTCAATGCCATAGTGAAGAGCAAAACTCAGCACAAACATAACCCCTCAGTGCCCTGCTCACTGTTACACTGAGCCAAGGAGCAGACTGCACAATCTTGGGGTAGGAGGAAGGTGGAGGCTGTTTCTATGCTGTGTGACTGGACCAAGCGCTGGTGTGGAGCCTGTGCACACACAAAGGACTTTCCTGTTTCTGGAAGTCCTACAATGACAGAAAACCTGAGGACAGGGGCTGTGGTTAAAGCCTTGGGCACCTGCTGGTGCACAAACCCTCCTGCTGAAGGCCACAGGAGCTATTGCAGCCTCCAGTGTGCATCAGCACAGCGCCTGCTGCCTCCAGGAGGTCTATTTGCAACCCGGCTGAGTGGCAGAGACAACTGCCCCCATGCTCAGGGGAGGCCCAAGCCCTTCCCGGAACATGGCTCCTTCCCATGCACAGCCCAGAGCCCAGGAGCAGCTCCTGCACCCCATCCCAGCCAGGGCAAGAGCAGGAGCTTAATTTTAGACCTTCACATTCAGGTGCCTGCTGCAGTGAGAAAAGCCTCAGGGCCAGATACAATCAACAGGGGTCCGAGTGCTGCAGCTCCACCAGCCGTGGGGGCCTCATCTCCAAACCCAAGGGGAAGCTTATTCATGTCAGGCAGAGGAGGGCCAGGGGCCCCAGGCACCCGTGGGCACCTGTGGCCACCCATGGGCACCTACACCCGTTCACAGAGAACATACCAAGAGAACCTAAAGTGCCACGACTTGGGTAGCGTGGGAGGGAGGCGACCACAAGAGCACCAGCCATGGACACAGCTGCCCCGGGAGGGGACAGCAGAGCCCCTGGAGTGTGTTACTGATGCCAGAGCTTAGTGAAGTGCTACTGAGCAGAGGATGAGAGGCAAAGCATCACCACCACGTCACCACCAGCCTCCCCACACAAGTTGTAAAACTGGGGAGATCAACACTGTTGCCAACAGAAGGCATCAACTGGACCTGGCTGCCCCCCAGCCCTGCTGCTCTCCAGGGCAAAGAAGCCCTCAGGCAGCAGGTGCTGGCCTTGCCCAGCAGCCAGCCCAACTGCCTGCAGGGATCTGGGACAAAACCATGAACAAAACTATGTTAACAGAGTCCTGCAGTGGAGCAGCGCTGCGCTGGGCTCTGCCAAGTGCTCTGCAGGGGCAGCTCTCACAAGGTCAGCCCCGTCCCAGGCTCAGCAGTACCAGCGCTGGGGACGCACCTCAGTCTGTTCTTGGAGACCAGAGCTCACCCAGAGCGAGCTGTGACCAAATAGCAGCGTTTGTGAGAAGCTGTGGGGGGCCCACCCAGCAGTGACCAGCTCAGGCTGTGCCTGTGGTGTACAGGAGCAGGCCCTTGGCTCTTACATTCTGTCTCTGGAGCAGGTGCTCCATGGAGGAAGCAATTCCCACTACCGGAGCCCCTCCTGACTCAGTGGATGGGATTCAGTGCCCAGAGCTCGTCTCTTGCGCAGGGCCTTGGGCTCTGCAGGCTCCAGAGGAGGTGGCTTCAGTGAGAAGCTGCAGGCGCAGGGGGACCCAGGTTCAGCTTTTCTGGTTCAAAAGCCAGGAGAAGAGCAGCTTCCTGGGCCGGGGCCTCCGGGCCTGCCGGCTGCGCACGGCGCGGGGCGAGCGCCACACCTTGATGGTGGTGTCATCGCTGGCGGTGAGGAGCAGCTCCTGCTCCACCGGGCTGAACGCCACCGAGTTGACCACGTTGTCGTGCTGCAGCTTGGCCAGGCAGATGTTGTAGTGCCGGTCCCAGATGTAGCCGTGGCGATCCTCTGCCCCGCTGGAGCACACAGGACAAGTTAAGGACATCACCCACAGCCTGCTCCCACCCCCCAGCCTCCGTCTGCAGCCCTGTCACCCACAGAACAGTTTGCGTTGGAAGGGACCTTCAAAGCTCCTCTAGTCCAACCCCTGCCATGGGCAGGGACATCTTCAACTACATCAGGTTGCCCAGAACCGCATCCAGCCTGGCCTGGAATGTCTTCAGGGATGGGGCATCCACCACCTCTCGGTAATCTGTGCCAGTGTTCCACCACCCCCTTCTAAACACTTTCTTCCTCACACACAGCCTTAATCTCCCTTTTAGTCTAAAACCATCACCCCTTGTCCTATCACAACAGGGCCTGCTAAAAAGTCTCTCCCCATCTTTCTTACAGGCCCACCCCATCGCACACACCTTGCTACGAAGTCCCTGCTGACATCCAGGAAGATGAAGAAGCACTCCTCATTGGGCGTGTAGGCCCGGTGTGCCCGCAGCGCTCTCTTCACCTCCTTCATGGTCTTCAGGTCGAACACGTGCAGGTCAATCTCCTCAGCGATGGGGGGAGGCTGCATGGGGTCAGAGATGACGCAGTCGCGGGGCCAGGCTCGGCTGTTCACATACAGGTACCTGTGGGAGCAGAGGGGTGACCCTGCACCTTCCTGCATGCGACAGGGCTCAGGGAGCCCCAGCTGGAAATGTGCAGGTTGGTGGCACAGAGACCCAGCAGCTGCTCTGGCCCTTGGTGAGCCTGAGGCTCAGCTCACCAAAACCCAGGCCGAACCATGGGAACATGCTGCTGGAAATACTCCCTGCCATGTTTGGAACTGGAAAGGTGGGTCCTGGGGGCTACGCCAAGCCTCTGCAATCCATTACAACCAGCTTCAAGGATGGTGGTGTATTGTGAGCAGCAGGTTGAGGGAAGGGATTCTGCCCCTCTGCTGCACTCTGGGGAGACTCCCCTGCAGTCTCCCCAGAGGTGCTGGCACAGGGTGCCCAGAGAAGCTGTGGCTGCCCCATCCCTGGCAGGGTTCAAGGCCAGGTTGGACACAGGGGCTTGGAGCAAGCTGCTCTAGTGGAAGGGGTCCCTGCTCGTGGCAGGGGTTGGAGCTGGATGAGCTTTAAGGTCCCTTCCAACACAAACCAGGCTGGGACTGATCTGCCTCTGGAGCAAGACACTTTGTGCAAGCAATTTCTTCACTCTTACAAGTTCCTGCTTGACCCTATCCTGACCGGGGCTCAGCAGGGCAGAGGAGGAAAGCAATCCTGCTGAGGCAGGAACACAGGACATGAGGACAGAAATCGGATGTGAACAAGCAGAGCTGCCCATGCAGGCACACGCTACAGTCATTCCTTCTCCTGGCCACTCCACAAAGCCCCTGAGCAGCTGCTGCCCACCCCTGCAGTGCCCGAAGCTAGCACGGAGGCCAGCACTACCACACTCACCTGTGATCAGGAGAGAGACCCATGCCAATGATGTGCCCATGGATGTCGATGACGTGATCCAGTGAGTCAAAGAACTCATCTGAGCGCCTCTCCTCCCCGAGCACAGGCCCAGCAGTCGTCATCTGGTGGGGCAGGATCCTTTTAATCCCTTGGGGACAGAAAGCAGCATCAGGCCATTCTGCAGGCTGCTGCCCGCAGACAGCAGGGGTGGTGGAGGTCCTCAGGCTTCAAGAAGGGACTTCCCTTACTGCTGCTAAGGGAAGGGAACTGGCTCACTGGTGGACAGCCAGACTGGGGCTGCTGTCCCTGCCTGGCTCCTTCGAGCTCTCGCAAGTGATACTTTCAGCCAGGACACTGCCCAGGCACAGGCACCAGGCAAAGGCACCAGACGTGGAGCTGTTGGAGCGAGTGCAGAGGAGGCCATGGAGATGCTGTGAGGGCTGGAGCAGCTCTGCTCTGGAGCCAGGCTGAGAGAGCTGGGCTGGGGCAGCCTGGAGAAGAGAAGGCTCCTGAAGGGGAGACCCTAGAGCAGCTCCAGTGCCTGAAGGGGCTGCAGGAAAGCTGGAGAGGGGCTTGGGACAAGGGCCTGTAGGGACAGGCCAAGGGGAATGGCTTGAACCTGCCAGAGGGGAGACTGGGATGAGCTCTTAGGCAGAAGCTCTTCCCTGGGAGGGTGCTGAGGCGCTGGCACAGGGTGCCCAGAGAAGCTGTGGCTGCCCCATCCCTGGCAGTGTTCAAGGCCAGGTTGGACACTTGGAGCAAGCTGCTCTAGTGGAAGGTGTCCCCCTGTGGCAGGGGGTTGGAACTGCATGATCTTAAGGTCCCTTCCAATCCAAACCAGGCTGGGATTCTATGATTCCACCACAGGCAGGAAGATGCCCAGTGCCTCGCTGGCACAGACACTCGTTGCTCCAAGTCCATCCTGAAGCACACTCTGAAGCAAGGCTTCCTGACTGAAGGAGACACATGTTATGGGTCAAGCTCTGTCACCTTCCATCTCTAGAGGTCCCAACACAAACCATTCACAACAGCTTCCTGAAGGAATCCTATGAGCCTCAGCATGGGCTCACATGGGCTTCACCCTCAGCAGGTCCAAGTGGAGACGAAGATGGCCCATCCCATCGCCCTTCTAAAGGAATCACTGCCAAGCACCTTTAATTTCAGCCCTCTCCCACAGATCAACACGACTGGAGTGACACCACAATGTACCTCAAGTCCAAGGACCTTCACAGCATGCTGCATCTGAAAGTGGGCTGTCCAGGACTCATTCTCCCACCCAGCTGGCACTGCTCACCAGCATTTCACTCTCATTTCCACAGCACTGCTCTCCCACTTCCAACCTCGGCTACGTGTCCCCTCTGCACAAGCCAACAGGAGAGGAGGCTGTGCCTGTGACTCAGAGCTGCCACCAGCACAAAGGAGACAGGAGCTCCAAGGCAACTCCTGCAGAAGCACCTGTGTGCTACGGATCAGAGCAGAGCGCGCCGCTGCCCAGCAGCTCCAGCAGCAGCAGGGCGAGAGACAAGCACAACACAGAGCTCTTTGAAGTACCAGTTCCTTGGGGCAGACACCAGATGCACCAGGGCTGGCTCCACGCACAAACGGGTGGGTGAACACAACATCCTGCAGTGACTCATGGCAGGAGAGCCAGGGCTCGTCCCCCCCGGGAGCCAGTCAGTGCTGCCAGCGCTGGCCACCAGCCAGGGAGTTCCTGGAGGCAGTTCAAAGGCAGCAGAGCCCACAGCCCCGGGGGCTCTGCTGGAGGTCAGTGGATGCAGATATGGGGCTGGGTGCAGGGCTGAGCTGCCACCCACCACGCAGGGCAAGGTCCATCACGTCCAGCTGAAGACCTGGTGGTGGAGAGGAGCAAGGGCAGAGCCACACAGTCCCGGTCACATTCCCAACTTAGGTGTACAAAGACCAAGTGACTCTTCTCCAAGCTGGCCTCAGCTTTGGAAACTGCCTCTCCCTGGGCTGTGCTGGTACAGGACCAAGTAACAGGAAGGTTAGAAGAGTCTGCAGCAGCAAGGCTGTAACTGTGCAAGCAGCAAAAGGAGCTGAAACTGTCTTCTTGCCTGGAAGCAGCTCTCCCTGCACACCCCCCACACCACCACCCCCCCCCCACTGATCTGTCTAGTCCTTTCCACTGAACCTCTCTGCTAGCTTTAGGGGCTTTTAGAGCAGCAGCCAGAGTACCTGCTTCTGCTCACCACCGTACCTACTTCCCATAAATTCAGGCTCTGTGAGTCCCAGTGCCTTGACGAGAGCAGTGGACGAGCAAGGTGACCAGCAATGCCATTGCCTGGCATGTGCTGCAAATACAACCCCTTGTACCCTATGGAACAGGGAGGCCAAGCTCCACAAACTCCCTGGCACCGGATTCCCATGGGAAGACCCGCTGGGGCAGCTGCAAAACAAACCAGGGCTGCCCCAAAAGGCCAAATGGTGGTGGGTTGCCACACAGTGGGCAGGGGGTGAGGCAGGCCAGGCTCAGGGCAGGCAGGGAACCATCTCCCAGAGCTGAGGGGCACTGTGCAAGCAACACATGTGGGCTCCAAGCTGCTCAAACCAGCCCTACCCTGATGCTCTCTGCACCCCCACAGGAGAACAGGACTAAGGCCTTCCACACACTCCCATCAGAACAATCACAACCCTTCACATCCACACACAGTGCGTGACCCATGGCTGATGTCCTGAAGTCAGAAATTCCTTCTTGATCTACTCAGCCCTCACCATGACTGTCGTTTGGCCACATGTCTGGTAACAACAAAACCCTCAGGCAAGCACTTGCAAGGTGGAACCCCCTTCAGTGACTGGGGGCACCTCAAAAGCCTCCTGTATCGAGAGCCCAACAGCCTCAACAAAGCTGCAACTCACTTGCCACAAACAGGCAGCAAAGAAACCAGGTCTTTTCCAGATTCAAATTCAGCCCATGCCCCAGGGGCAGCTGGTGTGCCCTGGGCTCAGACCTCAACCTTACCTATCTGGTGTGGGGAGTAGGTGAGGCATCCTGTGGTGAAGATTAAGTACTTTGTCTTGCTGTTGCTGTCTGTGGAGAGCAGGTTCAGCTCAGGGGGTTTAGTTCTGTTGCGTACGAACAGCTCAGCCACCTTTGTCTCGAGCTCAGTGTCGGTCATGGCAGGCCTCACCCGGCCCTCCATGATATCATCAAAGAGCTGCTGCAGCCCATCCTCTGCTGGCACACCCACGTCATCCAGCAATTCCTGTACTGCTGGCTCCGGAGCCTGCTTGGGCTTGGCCTCCTCTTCCTCACTGTCACTGCCGAGATCAAAGACGGGGCAGGTGGAGGTGGAGGCAGCGAGCTGCTCCTCGTAGTCCAGGAGCAGGTCTGGCGAATCGTAGCGGCTGCAGTCGGCCACCATCACCGTCCGGATAGTGCTGGCGTTCAGGTTCTGGATTTTGAACAGTCTCTTCACTACATTCACATTCTCGGATTCTATCCCCTGCAAGCAGAAAGAAAAAGTAAGCAGGAACCATCTCAGGTCCCTCCTATGGCTCAAACCAAGAGCCACCTGCTGAGCCTGTGAGTTGGCACAGCAACACCAGCCACACACCGACCTCTCTTTGCACTGCTACATGGAGCAGGGATCATGAGAACTGGCCCCCAAGGCTGGCCAGCTCTGTGGCACTTCTTCCCATCCTGGAGGTGGGCACACTGAGACACAAAACTCCTGCAGGCTGGAGGTGGGAAACACAGAAGCTGAGCAGCCTTGCTGCCACCTGCAGCTGAGGCTATGAGCTGGTGCTGCCTGAGGTGTTAGAAGAATTCCAGGACAGGCCTTTAAAATCCACGCAAGTGCAGCATAAAGTACCATTCTCTGGCCTACAAGCAGCAGAGGCAGGGAACCTCCATACTCTGCAGTTCCCCTGTGCAGAACCACCCTGGTTATCTGCTCCCAGATACAAGCAGCGGGTCTTTTCCTGCCCAATTGCCCTGGCAGTCTGCAGCCACGCTTCAACACCCCTTTACAACGTGGGCAAGGTGCCTCCTCACTTCATGGGGATGGAAGAGTTAGTGCTGTAGTATCAGAGCAAAACAGAGATGTGGTTATGAGAAGGATCTCTGCTACCAGAGGATTTCAATTGAGGCCAGCATCAACTGTTCATGTCAAAAAACACAGTGGGATAAGCAGCTGTGACACTGAGACAGATGAAAACATGGACACACCTGAGCAGGAAACATGCCAGAGAATGGACAAGCAGCAAACAAGCAGCGTAAGGGCAGCTCACATTGATCTCCAGGTTTTATCACAGCACCTGGCCCACAGAACCGTCAGCAAGGACAGGCAGGGTTGAGCTCAGGCTCTCAGCTGCCTCTGGCTCCCAGAAATAATGTACTGAGCTGCCAAGTAGGAGAATGGCCACTGATTAGGTACATGCCAGGCTCCAGCTGTCCCAGGCCCAGCTTCATGTTAGCAAGGACCTCAGCAACCCTTCTGTGCTCCAGCCACTCTCCTGTTGAGCAACACATCCTCTAAGGCACTGCAGTCAAGTTCTCATTCCAATTAATGGGGCAAGAGTTAATGGAATGTGAGAGTTAGAATATTGTAATGGGTACCACAACACTGAGTGTGGAGAAGCCTCACACAAGGGTTGCCTTAAGCTCAGGATCCTGAGGGCAACTCAGAGAAGACAAACAGGGAGTACAGGAGGATTGGGCCATTCCTTCCCACTCACACCTCCTCTGCAGCATTTCCTCCCCAGGAGCCAGCAGGAAGCTGTGCTGCCTGCGAAGCTGGAACAAAGGCACCTCACCTGGAAAGCGTTGTTCAGCCACAGCACAGAGCAGGAGGTTATACGCCCAATCCGGTGCAGATTGCCAGATATCAAGTTGGTTTCATTCAACCAGCAGCCAAACACATCGTAGGGCTTATTCCTCACCCTGGAAAGCAGCGTGAAGTTCTCTGCAAGGGAGGGGAAACACGAGCATGAGGAGATGGCTCCTGGCCCTAGAGAGACCACAGCAGAAGACATGGCAGATGGATTCAAGTCTCCCCAGGAGAGGCTCTGATGCAGCACATCCACTGCCAGCTGAGCAGATGCTGCCCAACCACCATCCAGCTTCCAGTCATTCCTATGAAGATAGATATTTCTCTCTCCCGCAGCAGTGTGTGAGGAGAGCAAGCACAAAGTAAAAGGGCAGGCAGAGGAAAGAGCAATTTAATCTCAGAACCCTTCTCCAAGCATGGCTCAAAGCAGACACCCCAAGGACAAGAACAAGTCAAACATGTACAGAACATCTTCACTCCCACCCCTGGGGCTCAGGGCCTTTCTGAGCTGGACATACGTGCATTCAGGAGCACCCCTCGATTTCTGGCACACTGAGGTGGTGAGAGACAACACAGCTGGGATTTGGGAGCTTCACAGAACTGCAGCAGAAGACATGAAGCAAACCCAGATGAATGAGCCTCAGAAAGCCCAGGGTGGGACTAGCACCACTTGAGTCGGAAATGGTGGTTCAAAGACAACAGGTAACCTGGGTAACTCTTGCCTTGCCCACTGTCACTCAGAGCTGAAGTGAGAATAAACATATGCCACACTGCTCTTAGGTGATGATGTGGGCACAACACGTCAGAGCTGAGGCTATTCATAAGGCTTACCCTATGAAACTGTGATTTGGAACCCTCTGCAGAAAGCAGGACAAGCAGAGGTCAAGAGGACCTCTGCACACCACAAGAGGAAGGGAACCCCAGCACCCACTACTTCAGCCCTCCCAGGCACCCCAGTGAAGGAGAGGGGGACATTTACCCATGCTGATTACAGCAATCTCTCCTGAGGAGGAGTTGTGAGGCCCCACAAAGACACCGGACACCAGGAGGAGCGAGTCATCAGAATTGAACTGGGAGAACTGTGTGTAGCTCCAGTTGTATGGCCTCATGTTGGAGCTGTGCTGCAGGGAGATGTCCAGCTCATTGCTCCAGATCTATAAACAGATGGACAAACAGTCAGGAAGTTGCTGAGAAGCCCGAGTGTGGCTCCACTTTATCTGTTCTGCCAGCACTCACCATGCCAAGGAAAAAGCCAGCATCAAAGACCCCATTTAACTGCCTCCCAGTCCTGACTTCCCTGTCCATTCCCCTGATAGAAAATGGTCAGCATCTCTGGAGGGAGCTGAGCACAGGACTGCTCCCCCAGCCAGTGCAGTGAATGGCACTGTCACAGCTGGATTTTTCAGCACGTTCAGAGAGATTTTTCCCAAGACAACCCTCAAGCAAGACATCTGCAGTGGATCATTATCTCCACAGTCTTTGTGAGACCCACAACACAGCAGGGGACTGATTTTCACCTAGGAAGCAGGCTGAGCCAGGCAGACACCTTGGCCACCACCTTCACATGGGCCAAAGCTGGAATTCACAGCCCTCAAGGCTACATTTGCAAGAGCCATTAGTTCTGTGGTTTGGAGAACAACTCAGCATTGCAGGAACCGGCCTAAATCCAGGGACACCCAGTCAAACCTCTCCTCTCCTCTCCACAGACTTCCTAAAGGCTGCTCTTGTGGCTGAGCCCCACTAAATCAAAGCTGGAAGGGTTGTGCAGGGGAGGCAGACACTTTACCTTGACTGTGCAGTCTTTGGAGCATGATGCAAACAAACAGCCAGAATGGGAAAAGCTGAGGTGCAAAACCTGGTCACTGTGCTCCTTCAGGGCCTGCACTTCCACACAGGGGATGGTATCATAGAGCCTCTGGAACTCATCATACCAGGAGACAGCAGCTGTAACACATGAGCAGGAACATGGCACAGGAATGTAAGTAGAGGGAAGCAACACAGCATTCACAGTCCTGACTGAGACTTGCAGCCCTGAACACCCCCGTGTACTCAGTGTACCTCCAAAGCATGAGCAGCAGCTCAGGGAGGGGATCCTGCCCCTCTGCTGCGCTCTGGGGAGACTCCCCTGCAGTCCTGATCCAGCTCTGGGGCAGCAGCACAAGAGGGACGTGGAGCTGTTGGAGCAAGGCCAGAGGAGGCCATGGAGATGCTGCGAGGGCTGGAGCAGCTCTGCTCTGGAGCCAGGCTGAGAGAGCAGGGCTGGGTCAGCCTGGAGAAGAGAAGGCTCCTGAAGGGGAGACCTTAGAGCAGCTCCAGTGCCTAAAGGGGCTGCAGGAAAGCTGGAGAGGGGCTTTGGACAAGGGCCTGTAGGGACAGGCCAAGGGGAATGGCTTTAACTGGCCCAAGGGGAGACTGAGATGAGCTCTTAGGCAGAAGCTCTTCCCTGTGAGGGTGCTGAGGCGCTGGCACAGGGTGCCCAGGGAAGCTGTGGCTGCCCCATCGCTGGCAGTGTTCAAGGCCAGGTTGGACACAGGGGCCTGGAGCAAGCTGCTCTAGTGGAAGGTGTCCCTGCCTACTCTGCTGATGGGGCAGCATCATCCCCACAGCTCCAGCCAAGTTCACAAGGGTCTTGAACAGCTTTCTCTGCAGCTTTCCCACTCCCCCCCCCCCCCCCCCAAATCAGTTTCTTGCAGTGAACAGACACCTCTGCACCATGTCACTGCTCTATCAGCCCCTACAGCCCCTGCAAGAAACACCCAGAGCAGAGCTACGAAACAAAATCCTTGCTCAGACACAACAGCATCAGAGCTGCAGATATGCTCCAGCACAGTGCAAACAAATGCATCATGTGATGAGAGAGAAGTACCCAGTACCCTGAGGTACTGGGCTCCACTCTGCTTATCTTTATCTTGTCTAACACAGAGTTAATAAGGTTCCAGAAAGGATATGGGACCAGGAAAACAACATCTCCACGAGACAGACTAGAGAAAAAAGAGGAAGAGCAGGAGCTGGACCCAGGCTGCCAGGACAGAGCAGGAGCCCTGCAGCAAAGCCTGGAGCACACTCACAGAAGTCACACTGACAGCCAATAGAGACAAATAAAGAGGACTTTTAACCAAGTGCCCCGTAAGGCAGCCTAGAGACCTCTTGCAGCAGCAAATCCCAAGGAAGCAAAGAGGATCAGACATACATGGATAAGGGCCAACTTTCCTGGTTACACTGAACAGGACTGAGGGATTTTGGAACTCACTGCAGCCCAGGAAGCACCTGCTGCTGCAGGTAGGGAGCTGCTCGCTGCCAGGACACCCTCCACTGCTCACTAACCTCCGCAGCTCAGTCCCAGCCCATCTGGCTGCAAAGCAGCCTGGACAGACCCCATCTGGCCAAGCAACCCCAACATTCCCTCTTACAAGGCCCACTGGATACCACAGAGCTACCTAGGGCAGGCAGACTGGCAAGGCTTTTCCCCAGGCTCCTGCTTCAGCCCATGCCTGGGCCTGGCAGCCACCCCTTACCCCATGGGGGGCTCTCACAACTCCAGAAGCACAGCCTGGGAGGTGTTCAAATGCGTTACTGAGATCCACCAGCTGCTCAATCCCAATGAGTGCTGAAGAACAATCCTAACTGCTTCCCAACTCTCTCCCGAAGGCTGGAAGTGAATGAGCCTGGCCAAAGAGCCTCAGGTAAAACCTAAAGGAATGTCCTCAGCTCCATGGAGTTCCCAGGGTCTGCACAAGTGAAGTCACGAAGCCACGTGACAGCCCGCCTGTCTTCATGTTCCCTGCTGCAGGCAGATGGGCTCTTGCTGCTGGATCCGTGGTGTTTCTTCCCGTCCTCCTGTAGCAACTGCAACAAGATCAAGAACTCAACTCCCCCTGCCTTGGCCACTGCCGGGGGCCCCATGAGCACCCTTGGGGCTGAGGACAGAACACATCCCTCCTGGGCCTCCGCAGCAGGCTAAGAATGTGCTTTCTGGACTCGAGGAGAGACCCACTGTGGCAGCAAGAGCTCCTGTCGGCAGGTCCCCAAAGCCTGTCTGCTGGTGTGACACCGCTGGGTTACCCTTCCAGACTGCACAAACTGCTCCCAGCTCCTGACACTCCACTGGGAACTGACCCATGATCGTGTGCTGGTCACCACTGGTTGCGACAGCTCTACCCAACGAAGGCCCTACCAGGCTCAGATGCTGCTGACTGTTAATGGGTCATTTTCCTACTGGGAGCTGAGGCCAAGATCAAGATCAAGTCCAACCTGCCCTTGCAAAGTGGGTCAGCTGCTGCCTTAGCACTTGCTGTACAATTAAAGGGCCGCGCACCCACCTCCCTCCTCACAGAGCAGGCACAGCTCTGCCTTCAGAGCCTGCGCCTTATAGAAATAGTCTGGTGTGCTAATGTGCACTTGCAGCTCTTCCTGGTCTGGATGAGAGGGGCAGAGCCTGGAGCAAGGGCTTAGTGTGAGGTCCTGCTCAGGAAAAGCCAGCAGCGATTATCACCGAGGCCAGCTGGGCTGTGCTGGGGCTACACACCGTGACTCACTGCAGCTCCTGCCATGCCCCTCAGCAGCACCAAGCCGAGCTGTGCAGCAGCCACCACAGAGCTCCTGCCTCGAGAGCACTCAGAAACCACCTTGCTGGGAAAGGAAAGCTGAAGCATTTTCAACCATCTGACTCCCTTTTCTGAAGGGTTTGGGCACTCCCGAAGCCCTTCACGTGCACATCACCACCTAGCCCTACAGACTGCTAATGTGACACAGTTCAGGGGCTCATCACCCACAGCACCAAAGCACAACGGGTTGAGCAGCAGAGAGGGAGAGAACGTTCCCCTCCTGGCTCAGGATGGGAGCTCAGGCTCCCATCACACGGGTACCACACCTCGCAGAGCCACTGGAGGCCCCGGCGCCGGGCAGCTCCAAGGAGGGCAGCCCCACCAGCCCTGTCCCCCCGCGGCCGCGCACCTGGGTGCCGGGGCACCTCCCGGGAGATGCGGTAGTAGCGGTAGAAGAGCTCCTTCCACAGGAACTCGTCACGGGCCACGGCGTGCCACTGCTGGCAGACCAGCCCCACCGAGAGCACGTCTACGTGGTCCAGGTAGAGGAAGATCTCGTAGAGGACGCTGTCGGGGAGGAGAGGGCCGCCGCCCGCCTCCATCGTGGCATTCTGCCTGCGAGCGAGCGAGCGGACGGACCTGAGACCCTACCCGGCCGCGGCCCCGCACCGGGCACCCCCCGCTCCCTCCCACACCTCGGCGGCTCCGCTGGCCCCGCCCACCCCCTCAGCTCTTCCGCCGCTCCGCCCCGCCCTTCCGCCCCGCCCCTCCAATCACCGCTCCGCTTTCTGCCGCAAGGCCGGAGAGATCGAGCACAGAGCCCCCACCCGAGCGCTAGGCACCGCTAGCCGAACGTGGCACGCTCGCTCCCCATCGCCCGCCCCTACTGCGCTCAGACCCCACCCTCCCGGTGGGCCACGCCCCTTGCGTAGACCACGCCCCCTGCACCGTCTCCGCCCCATCACATCAGGCCCCCCCCACCAACACCGGCTCCGGGCCCGGGGTAGCTGCAGGCACCTCTCGCTCCACCCAACCCCGTCCCGTCCCGTCCCGTCCCGCACACCCCCAGCCGATGCCCGCGGGCCCGGTTCCAGCTCCCGGCTTCCCGCGGTGCCCTCCTGCCCCCGCCGCTCTCCTGCCCCCCCGCTCCCGGCCCCGCACCGCTCACCCAGCACCATGCTGTCCCGGGCAGCGCTCCTGCTCCTCGCCCTGCTCCTCGCCGCCCCGCCGGGGCTGGGGCAGGGCCCGGGGCGGCGGCGGCGGCCGCCCCCTCCCCAGAGCCTGCTGGAGAAGGTAGCGGCCTCGGCGGAGCTCAGGCTGCCCGAGGTGAGGGGCCGGGCCAGGGCGGCCCTACGGGGCTCGGCAGCTCTGGGGCTGGGCCTCGGCCCGTTCCCCTTTGGGTCCCCTTCGAGGTCCAGCCCTGCAGCGTCACCCTCCAGACCTGCCCTTGCGGCATGAGCCGGGGCTGAGTCCCCCGGTGCCCTCCCAGCCCCGAGACAGGGGCTGCAGGAGCCCAGCTCGGCCCCGAGCTTTGCCCTGGAGGCAGGCCCCGGCCCGGCGGCTGCTGCCCCGCCAGACCCCGGCTCCTCAGCCCCGGGGCCAGTGCAGCCATTGCCGGTGCTGGGTCTGGCAGCCCCCGGTGCCCCTCGAGCACCCTTTCCCTGCACACACACGCACCCCCCAGCAGCCTGTCCCCGCTCCGGGCTCTGCTCTGCTTCCTGCTCTTTCCCACCCTTCAGCTCCTGTCCCCGTGGGCGGCACAGGGGAGGGTGCTTGGGGTGGTGGGTGCTGATGGCAGTGGGGTGGTGGCACCCAGGGCAGTGGTGTGTCCCTCGGTGCCACCCGGTCCCATGCAGCTCGCAGGGAGGTGGTTCCTGGTTGGCATGGCTTCCCGCTGCAGCTTCCTGGCCGAGCACAGCCACCGGCTGGAGGCCACGGCAGTGACGGTGACCACTGGTGACGGGCAGAGCCTGGACATCAGCACTTTCAGGAAGCTGTGAGTGAAACCGGGCACCGGGGCCGCAGGCAGGGGCTAGGATGGGGGATGCTGGATGGGACAGGGACACTGCAGGCAGATCCAAGTAGGACCAGTGCCCTAGGATGGGGATGGGACAGGGACACTGCAGGCAGATCCAAGCAGGACCAGTGCCCCAGCCACAGGCTCCAAGGAGGAGAGAGCTGGCCCAGAGCAAAGTGATCTCCTGTGGGATGCTTTGTGCTAGAAGCCAGGGCCATGGAGGGCTGGAACCAGGCCACCAGCATGGGGTGGGCTTGGGCTCGCCAGCCTGGGTTGCGTGGGGGTGGCCAGGCTGGGAAAACTGAGGCTCTGAGATGAGAAACCAGGGACAGCGTGTGCCTGGCAAGGAGGGTGGGCAGGGGCCTGGGCTGGATCCTCCCCAGCCTGTGCCAACAACCTCCTCCTCTCCCCGAACAGGGATGGGATGTGCTGGGAGATCAGGCAGCGCTACCTCCCTGCCCAGGCGCATGGACGCTTCATCCTGAAGGGTGAGGGAGGCTGGGCTGGGGGGGAGCAGGGACCATGGAGCTGGAGCCCCCACTCCTGCTCTCAGCAGGGATTTGGGATTGGTGTCCATCCTCCCAGTGTCTCAGCTCCAGGATCTCAGAGCATCCCAGATCCATCACAGGCAGCACCATGGGCTTGTGCCTACTCATAGGGAACAGTATCCTGTGGGGCTAGCCTCAATTTTCACCCCTTGTACACCTCACCTGTGGTGAAACAAGACCCCTGGATGATGCTGGGGCTAACCGGGATTAACTGGGACTAAGCAGGGCTGTTTCCTGTCTTTCCCAGGCCGTGGCCATGGCAGCAAGGTGGACATGGTGGTGGGGGAGACAGACCACAGCAGCTATGCCATCCTCTATTACCAGAAGGGCCGGAGCATCTCGGTGAAACTCTACGGTGGGTCAGTGTTCTGGGGCTTGTGGCACATGAAGGACAGGGGTGGCAGAAAGGTGGGAAACCCGGGCTGGGACCAGGAGCCCTGAGCACCCAGACACAGGAATGGGTGTCCCCAGGGGTCCTGGTCCCAGATGGGGAGTTGTCCTCAGATGATGCTGGAGGGGAGACAGGGGGGAACCAATAACCCTTCTCTGGTCCCAAGCCTTGCCACAGGGGCAGGGCGGGCTCTGGGGCAGGGATAGATAGGCCTCGAGGCCACTGATGGCATCTCCTTGTGTAGGGCGGAGCAGCCAGGTCAGCGATGCCGTCATAGACAAGTTTGAGCAGCGTTTGAGGGCTGTGGGCCTGAGCGAAGATGTGACCTACTACTTCCCTGTGTACGGTGGGTGGCACATAGTCCCCAGGGACCTGGGAGCACCAACATCCAGAGACCAGCACCAGGGGCTGGGGTGCAGCGTTGGGAGGGGAGGCTCATCCACATAAGTTTCAAGAGCTTGTGGCCCCATATCACCCACAGCAGGGCCACAGTTGGGATCCGTCCCAGTGCCAGAGGTGCATGGACTGGGCTGTGCCCCACAGTGTCTCTGGGTGCAGGGCTGGGGCCGGGCAAGGTGACCCCCTGGGCTGTGTCTCTTGCAGGGTTCTGTGACTCCACAGATGAATTTCACATCCTCGATGGTGAGTTGTGGGGTCCGGGTGATGCGCTGGGTCCCCCCATGGGCCAGGCCTGGCCCCACGTAGGGCAGCACATGGGTTCTCCTGCCCTGGCTGGTGAGGTCCTGCTGAGGGATCCCAGGACAGGCAAGGAGGTGGCAGACCAGCAGCCAAGGTGGGCATCAGGTGCATGCTGGCACAGTCCTGTTCACCCCCCACATGGGTCAGGCAGGTTTAGTGGGGTTTTAGTGGGGTTTCCAGGTGTGAGGGTTGGTCTGGGACAGGGACACCCCGGGGTGAGGGCTGGGGTCCCCAAGGACAGCTCCATCAGTTGTCGCTGGTGCTTGGGGAAGTAGAAGTGGGTCTCCAGCCCTAGTGCGGGGCTTGGACATCTCCCTAGCCCCCCAGCACTTCCCTTTCCCTTCCAGAAATGAAGCTGTAGGTGAGGATGGTGTTGCCAGGAGGTCCCCAGTGCTCAGTCTTTACCTCTTCCAGCTGCCCATGGACACGCAGGACTGAGCTCGGGCTTAGGTCAGACCCTGCTGCTGCTCCAACAGCCCTGGAGCCAATCCTGGGGTTCCCCATGTCCTCCAGTGGCATTGACAGCCACGCGGGTCCTTGTCCTGCCCCCCCCCCCCCCAGCTTTGTGTCACTCTGTGCTCTGCACCCTTGTGCCTGCAGCAGCAATGACACCCCAATAAACGCCTCTGAGAAGAGTCTGTGTCCAGGCAAGTCGCCCCTTGGTGTGCCCCAGCAAGGCCATGGCTGCCTCCACTGTGGCGCTGCCAGTGCTCCCAGCTGGGAGGTGCGGGGGGATCCATGCAGCCCCGTCCGAACAGCTGCATCCCAACCATGGGACAGTGAGGAGGAATCGTGGCAGTTCCTGGTTTACCCTGAGTGAGGGAAAGCCCCGTGCTGGTGCCGTGGGGCTGGGGGTTCTGGGGATCGGCACAGGATCAACCATCCCTGGGACAAGCCAGGAGATGCCTCGGGCACCCCAGAGGAGGGATCCTGCTTCTCATCCCCAAGCCTTCTGGGCAGTGAAACGCTGCATTCCCTGCTCTAGTCCCGCGGACCATGTTCGCTGTAGAGCTGCTGCTGCCTGCATCAGACCCTGCCTGGGAGCGCTGCCTGCGAACCCCCCCTCCGAGCCGGGCAGGGGTGTCTTTTGCACGCTCAGAGCCGGCTGTGGGGGCTTGGATTGGGTGTGCAACCAGGGCAGAGGAGCCCTTACAGGACCCATCTGTCCGTGTGCTGAGTCCGACCAAGGCTGTCCTGCCACATGCTCGGGCTGGGGTGTTTCGGTGCTGATTCCCCAGCGCAGGCAGGGGATGGACAGCAGCCCCGGCACGGGCCGGGCTGTGGCAGGGGATGGGATGGGGCTGGATGGGGCCGGGCAGTGCCGGTCACGCCGCAGCCCAGGGCCCGGGGTTTCGCAATCGCAGCGGTACCGGTAACACATGTTGTTTATCACGGGTTTATGTAAGGCTCCGCACGTGACTCGCCCCACGCCAGCCCCCGGCCCACGTGCGGGCGGCCGTGCCTATGACCCCCCCCGGCCGAGCAGGGGCTGCAGGGCTGGGTCAGGCTCTGCTCTGCATCCCACAGGCGGCTGCGATGGGAGGTGGGGGAGCGCTGCCCTCCACCCTGGGGAGCTGGCCTGGACCCCAGGGCCTCCCCATGCACTCATCTGGAGGAGCCCGTTTCTGGGGTGCCAACCCCTAGGTTTTGGCTGAGAGTCTGTACCCAGGCACTGCGGTGATCCCTCAGCTCTGCCTCACAACGGTGCCCCCCTGTGTGTCCAAGGTCCCGAGCTCGCACCCAGCTTTGCCACCCAGCTCCTTGGCCAGCCTCAGCTTTACCAACCCTGGGAGATGTCTGGAAAGGGGGCTGGGGACCCCCGGGCACTGCGGGGCTTTGTGTGCACAGGGCTGCAGTGCACCCATGGGTGCTCCATGCCTCTGGTGCACAATGGAGAGAGCCCCTCCTGGCACTCTGCACCCCGAAGGGGAGCTTGGGCAGGGGCTGAGCCCCCAGCCCAGCGTGTGGGGAGGCCCCAGCCGGGCTCTCGTGGTGCTCAGTCCTGCCTGGCTCAGCTTTTGTTTTGTTTTAATAAATCCATGGAGCCGGGGCTGAGCTGGACGCAGCTGGGTGCGGGGAAGGGAATGTGCTGGGACGGGGGGGGGCTGCCCGCAGAGGAACAGCCGCTGTGAAAACACAACACGCTCCTTATGTAAAGCTTTGCCTTGGCAGGGCTGAGCCAAGGGCTGATGCTGGTCCCAGCATGGCCAGCCCTGCCCAGACTGTGCCAGAGCCATAGCAGCTGCTGAAACCTGTGCTCATCCCCAGCCCTCGCCTTACACTCAGGGTGTCCCCTCAAGAGGGGGGACAGTTCAGTGCTGGTGGCCGCAAGCCTAGGGGGAGGATATCTAGCAGCCCCTCTTGGGTGGCATAGCTGGGCTGAAGCACTGCTGGTCCCTTGCTGTGTGCTGGTCCCCAGGGGACTGGGCACCGGCTCCCCCCAGCACCCCCATCTCACCATCGACGTGCACTGGGGTTGCACATTGGTGGGTTGAACCCTGATGGGGCTGAGATGCTTCCATGGATGATGGCAGGGACCTGGGGCAAGGCAAGGGGCAGGGGGGGAGATCCTGGAGAAGCACCCGGTGGTGTCGAGTTCCAAAGGTTGATTTGAGCATTTGACGTTCCCACCACCTTGCTCGGGTCCCTCTGAGCGAAGCCACCCTGCAGCGCTGGGGGCAGCCAGCAAGCCCTGGCCCCGGCCCTGCCCGCACCGGCTGCAGCGCACGGCGCTGGCTCAGGCTGTGGTGCTGCTGCGGGGCAGTTCGGCACCCCCAGGCAAACACGGCATCTCACCAGGGGAGAAACATTCGCAGGGTCCCTGCTTGCCCTTTGGCTTCAGCTCTCGGCCCCGCTCCCGCTTGCATAACTCACAGGGGGAGGCAGGGCTGGTCCCCCTGGGGCCCCCGCGCAGCCAGCCCATAAATAGGGGCTCTGCCGGCTCTGCGGCAGCGCTGCCGCTCCTCTCGCTTGGCCCGGCCCGGCTCCGCTCGGCTCCGCTCGGCTCGGTTCGGTTCGGTTCGGCTCCGCTCGGCTTTGCTCGGCCCGGCCCTGACGGCAGCAGCCATGCACACTGCGCTGCTCGGCCTCCTGGGGCTGGCGCTGCTCGGGGCTCTGCGCGCTCAGGACACCATCCCCGTGCAAACCGACTTCCAGCAGGACAAGGTGACCCCGCATCACTCCGGGTGATGGGGGTGTGGGGAACCTGGGGGGGATCCCTGCCCTGGAAACGTGTGCAGGGGGTGTTGCAGGTGGATGTGGGGCAAGGTGGCCCCAGCACTGGGACAGGCAGGGTGGCTGGTGTGGGGTGCACACACAGCTCCCATCCCTGAGGAGCCCCCGCGGCTGGGGTTTGGTGGCTCCATGGGGGATGCAGGATCCAGGGCTGAATATGTGTGGGACTGGGACATCTGCAGTGTGGAGTGGGTGCGGGTACACAGGGATGTTACGAGGGGGGGCTGAGAAAAGCGATCTTAGTTTGAGGTAGCCCATGGGGATGGGCTGTGGACCCCCCACCCCCACGCAGACCCCATTTGCCCAGCCCAGTGTCCCAGAAGACCAAGGGCTGGGGTGTCCCACACACCCTCTGCCCTCCCACCCCTCGGTGCTGGCATGCGAGGGGTGCTTGCAGTAACCCCCAGGCAGGCAGCATCCAGAGCAGGACAAACCCGGCCTGGCTGTACATTGGAGGGACCCAGCCCCACAGCCCCTGGAGCCATCCAGGGAGGTGCTGGGGATGGAAGCACATCCTGCAGGGCTGGTCCTGCAAGGATGGTCCCAACACCACCTATCTCCAAGGCTGATGGTGCCCCTCTGAGTGCACCAAGCTGGTACCTGCAGGGAGCAGGCTGGGATGAGCTGTGCTGGCCCCGGGGTCCTGACCCCTCCTTGGGCCTCCAGATGTATTGAAACGGCATTTTGGAGCGAGGCAATGCTGTCACCCCGTCCATGGCTTGGGGCGAAGAGGAAGGAAACACCCCAAGTGCCAGGCACATCCTACACCAGGGGTCGCCTGGCCCGTGGGGTTTGTGGAGCAGGAGCTGTAGCAGCTCCATGGGGACAAGGACCCAGGACCCCATCCTGCAGTGGGGCCAGCAGGGGAAGGGGAGGTGGCCTGGGCTGTGGCTGACTGGTGACCAAGGGGTGAGATGGGGTCTGTGTGCAGCCGGTGACTGAGCAGAGGTTGTGTGCAGCTCACGGGGAAGTGGTTCAGCATCGGCCTGGCCTCCAACTCCACCTGGTTCAAGGAGAAGAAGCACCTGATGAAGATGTGCACCACGGTCATCTCTGAGACCGCAGATGGGAGCCTGGAAGTCACCTCCACCTACCCCAAGTATGGGCATGGGCAGGGGCGGGAGGTGGGCAATGCTGCTATGCCTGTGGCTATGTGTGGGCTGCAGCATCCCCCTGGTCCCTCGTGTTGTACTCCCCAGGGGTGACAAGTGCGAGAAGAGGAACAGCCTTTACACCAGGACGGAGCAGCCAGGGCGGTTCAGCTACACCAGCCCACGTGAGTACCCAGCTCCTGGCCCAGCGCTGCTGGGACCTGCTCCTGGCCTCGCCAGAGCACCCCAGTGCTGAGCTGGGCCCTCCCTGTCCCTCCAGGCTGGGGCAGCAAGCACGATATCCGTGTGGTGGAGACCAACTACGAGGAGTATGCCTTGATGGCCACCCAGATCTCCAAGAGCACCGGCCCCTCCACCATGGTGCTGCTCTACAGTACGTGTGCCCCGGGACCTCTGTGCCACCCGGCCCCCAGCAGCCCCAGAGATCCCCACTGGGGGATCTCTCCTGTGGGAGAAGGGCAGCAGCATCTCCCAAGCTGGGGTGACCCATGGGGTGTCTGGGTCGGGCCCTCCTGCCTGCTTGTCCCTTGCTAGGCTGCACTGCAGCAGTGCTCGGGGGCGTCAGGGGGCTGCCTCTCACCCTGCTCTCGGCTGCAGGCCGCACAAACGAGCTCAGTCCTGAGCGCCTGGAGAGGTTCACCCAGTTCTCCAGGGAGCAGGGCCTGACGGACGAGGAGATCCTCATCCTGCCCAGAACGGGTGAGTGCCACCAGGGAGCAAGGCTGGGGTGCAGGGGGCTGGTGGGGAGCAGCGGAGAGGGAGGAGACCCTCCTGGCTTGTCCCTGCCTCCCTGAGGGACCAGTGTGGGCCTGGCCATGGGGTGTCTCCATGGGGGTCTCTCAGGAGTCCCCCAGCCCATGGAGGAGCTGATCTCTGTTTTTCTTCCTCCTGCAGACGAATGCATGGCAGATGCTGCCTAGGTGAGTCCTGCCTTCACTGGGGTCAGAGCAGCCCTGCAGGGGGGTATGGGTGTACTTGGAGATGCTCCACCCCATCACCCCCCCCTCTCCAGGCTGCTCCTCTTACTGCTATCACAGATCATAAAAGAGAATCCCAGCCTGGTTTGTGTTGGAAGGGGCCTTAAAGCTCCTCCAGCTCCAACCCCTGCCACAGGCAGGGACACCTTCCACTAGAGCAGCTTGCTCCAAGCCCCTGTGTCCAACCTGGCCTTGAACACTGACAGGGATGGGGCAGCCACAGCTTCTCTGGGCACCCTGTGCCAGCGCCTCAGCACCCTCACAGGGAAGAGCTTCTGCCTAAGAGCTCATCTCAGTCTCCCCTGTTTCAGTTTGAACCCATCACCCCTTGTCCCATCACCACAGTCCCTGATGAAGAGTCCCTCTCCAGCATCCTTGTAGCCCTTTTAGGCCCTAGGAGCTGCTCTGAGCCCTCCACGCAGCTTCTCTCCTCCAGGCTGAACAGCCCCAATTTTCTCAGCCTGTCTCCATGCGGGAGGTGCTCCAGCCCCTGATCATGCCCCATCCTGTCCCATGGCTGCTTCTTTGGTGTCCCTGGGTGGTGAGTGCCCATGTACTCATCGTGGGGCTGGCTGGGCCGATGTCCCCTCGTGTGTCCCTGTCTCACCCCCATCTCTTTCAGACAGACCCACCAGCTGCCGCCGGCCGGAGCCCCGAGAGCACCGTGAGCCGGTGGCTGCCCCATCCCCCCCATGCCCAGGACCCCCCAGCACTGCAGCAGCCCCTCTCCCTGGCTTCACACCCACACCTGTACCCCCCACCCCATTAAAGCCTGTATAAAACCAGCCCGCCCCCCTTGTCTGCCTGGTCATCCTGAGGGGAGCCGCAGGGGGGTAATGGGGAGGAGGTGTTTGTTGTGAGCTCTGGATGTGGCTCAGCCCCGACCACCCCCATGGTGTCCCTGCCATGAGCCTGGACCCGCACCGGGAGCAGGGCCCGTGCCTGCTGCCGGCAGCTTGGGAAGCCGCAAGCCCTTCTGGGGGACACTGGGCTGTGGCTCAACCCCTCCTTGTTGAGGTGGGACCGGTCCTGGCGCTGCCAGGCCCTTGGGCCAGCGGGCAGCAGCCAAGAGCAGGGCACTGGGAGGCACCCCTGTCCCCCTCCCCAGACCCAGCTCTGAGGCATCACCCGCTCCCCCACTGCTCTGGGCTGGGTCCCGCACAAAGCTGCATTCATCCAGGACTGGACAATGGGGGGAAAGGGGCCAGCGCTGTCACCCAACACGGGTACAAGCGATCCCTGCTCTTGTGTAACCTGTTGCATAAAGGGGGCGGGAGGGTGCTGCCAGCGGTGGGGGTATAAAGGTGGGTGCGGGAGGAGACGGGTCCCAGCAGCCTCCCCTGCCCGCACGCAGCCCCCGCCCGGTGAGGATGAGGCCGGCGCTGCCCTGCCTGGCTCTGGCGCTGCTCTGCGTGCTGTGCGCCGCGGCCGAGGTGCCCGTGCAGCCGGGCTTTGACACCCAGAAGGTAACGAAGGGCAGGGGGTGCCCCCAGCCCGTGCTGTGTCCCCAGGCACCCCGAGGAGCCCCAGGAGAGGGGGTGTCTGTGCGCACCGGGTTGGTTAGTCCTGCCCCGCGCCTGCCTGCGACGGCCAGACCCAGCCGTGGCCCCGCTGCAGGGATACGGACACCCGGCACTGTGATGCCCCCAGACGTGTGGGATTGCCCCAGGGAACATGGGCCCGGCGCTGCGCTCACCCTTCCGGGGCAGAGCCGTGTGTCCTGCATGCAGGCAGGCGCCAGGTCACGGTGTTTGGTCCGCAGAGCGGGTGGCAGGTTCCTGCACTGGACTGTCACATCTTCCACAGAGGGTGGCAGGTTCCCCTGGTAGGTGGCAGGTCCCCATGCCTGTGCCAACCCCCTGGTGATGTCCTGCTGCAGTTTGCAGGGAAGTGGCATTTCGCAGCCACTGTTTCCAACTGCTCCATGTACCTGAAGATGAAGGATGGGATGAAGTCACCCATCGCCACCATCAGCTTCACGCCGGAGGGGAACCTGGCTATGAAGCTTGCCTGGCCCCTGTGAGTGCCAACCTGCTTGATGGGTCCCGCTTGGGCTCCATCCCCACCAATGCAGCTGGGCAAGGATCATCCTGCTGCTGCCCACAGCGCTGGGCTCATCCCGGCCCTCCCCATCTGCTGGCCTCCCAGGCAGGGTCCAGCCCCCTTTGCCATTCCCATTTTCCCTCTCCAGGCCGGACAGATGCCAGAGGTTGGAGCTGCTCTTCCAGCGGAGCGGTCAGGCAGGACACTACGTGGGTATGTACGGGCAGGTGGAGCAGAGCCACCCACACCCTGGCACAGAGGGGGTGTTCAGCCCCTCTGCCCCATGGCTGGGCCACGGGCTGCGCTGCTGTGGGGGCATGGGCCTGCTGGATCCCACGGGGGTCCCCTGGTTCCCTTCATACCCCCTCAGGCCCTGAGCCGTGAGCCCCAGGAGGGGCCATGGAGGTGCTCAGGCTGCGCCACGTTGACTGCTGTGGTCCTTCAGCAGCACAAGAGAAGAGAGAGCTGCGTGTGATGGAGACGGACTACAGCCACTACGCCATCGTGCACGAGACCCAGCACAGCGAGCAGCAGCCCAGCACCATGCTGCAGCTCCTCAGTGGGTATCAGGAGCGGGAATGGGCACCCACAGCTCCCCACAGAGGGACATTGGCGCGGGGGGAGGGGGGGGGCAGGGGCTGGGCTCCCCGCTGCGTTCCAGGGCCCCCTGCCTCAGCACCCCACATGCTGCCACCCAGGGAGTTCATCTGGGGTGGATTAAACCTTGCACCAAAGATATCCCCCATTGGGCTGTGGTTTGACCTGAAGCTCCCCCAGCCCCACCAGCTGCCCCACACCACCCCCAGCAGGTGGGTTCCTCCTCCCAAGGGGCTTGTGCCCCTTTGCTGCCAGCCCTGGGTAGCTGTGGGGTACCCGGTGTCCACCCTGCACCTCCATGGCTTCACCTTTCCCCTTCCCTGGGGCCCCATCGCTGCCCCACGGGAGCTGAAGCCCCCGTGTGGGGCTCTCTGCTGGGTCTCCCCACACTCATCAGCCCCTGCTTTGGGTGTCTGGCTGCAGCAAGGGAGCAGGACGTGAGCCCCCAGCTCCTGCAGAAGTTTGAAGAGCTCATCCCCGCTGTGGGGCTGACCAAGGCCATGCTGGCTGTGCTGCCCAAGTCGGGTAAGTGCTGGCAGGGCAGGGGTGCACGCACAGCCCCTCTGCATGGGGATGCTCGGGACACTGCCCATGGCATGCTCACCCCTCTTTGCTTTTCAACAGATCAGTGCACCGCAGCCATCAGGTGAGCATGGCCAGGGGATGCCGGGTGTCCCTGCTGCCATGGCCAGGGCTGAGCAGGGACTCAGCCCCCTCAGGGACTCCCTGCCTGCCTCGGGGTTCTGCAGCATTTCGCCTCTCCCTGCTCTAACTCACCCATCGTCATTCCTCCCTGCAGCTGAAGGGGCTGATGCCAGGGCCATGGTTCCTCCAGCCCTGGCGGAAACCAGGCTCTGCTCCCCCCTCCATGATACCCCTTCCTGTGCTTCCTGTCCTCCGCTGCCCCACACCAGGATCACACCTCACCCTCTGAAATAAATAGGTGCAGAAGCTGCCCCAGAGTTTGGTGCTTTTGTCTGCAGGAGCAGGGGTGCTGCCAGGGTCCCCAGGCACCCCAAGTCCTGTGCTCCTGGGTCCAACCCTTCCTCTCAGCACCCCAGGGGAGCTGGGGTTCATTTGCTGTGCTGTTTGCTGCACCCGGTGTGGTGAGGAGGGGGAGCAGAGGATGGGGAAGGTGCAGGGGGCAGTGCTGGGGATGTGGGCAGGGGAGGACTGAGCTGGGATGAACAGGGGCTCATGCAGCAGGTCTGGGCAGGCGGCGTTAAGCACTTGGGCTGCTCATACCTGCCTGCAGGGCTCCGGCTTCAGGCAGGCAGCTCATCCTCAGGACACCCAGTTGAAGCCCCCCAGCAGGACTGGGGCTGTCCCATGGCTGCCCAGGGTAAATGCACAGCAGGATAGGGACCTCCCATGCGTGTTCCCATCCCCCTGGCTCCCCCCATCTGCCCACTGGCCAAGGCAGAACCAGAGCCAGGGCATGGGGGACATCACACCCTGGGAAGGAGGGGACACACTCCGACAGTGACGTGAACCCCTTCTTCTGCTGTCCCTGCTCCAGGTGCATCCTGTTCTGCCTACTCTGAGTATGCAGAGGTGCACCCACAGAGGTGGATGAGCTGTGCAGCACCGCAGGGTCAGAACATCAGTGGTGTGCAGCTGCCTGGGCTTGGGCATGATCCCAGCGGCAGCCCTGGGGCAGATCCAGCCTGGCCAGAGGGATGGGTCACTGAGCTCCTTGGTGACAGGTCACTGGTGACAGCGCTGCTTGGGGCGTGCCGGGAAGGATGTCCCCACTCTTCCCAGCAGCCTTCCACCATCCTGCTGGTAAACGAATGCTCTTTTTGTTCTTTCACAACCAACTTTGCCCTTTTCATAACCAAGCACATCGGGGAAATCCTGAATTTCAGCACTGGTGTGGTGCAAGAATTCCTGCAATACGCTGCTCAGCCCCTCCGGGTGCCCTTTGGGCGCTTCCCCTCTGCTGCAAGACTGTGTACTCTGGAGCGACCTCAGCCCTTGGAAACCATCTGCCCCAGCCAACCCTAGCGCCGGGGTGTGTGGAGGGGAGGAGAGCCCGGTGCTATAAATTCAGCAGCCCCGGCACCGCTCCCCATCCCGCTGGAGAGCCCAGAGGAGGCTGCGGCGCGATGAGGACCATGGGGCTGAGCCTGGGGCTGGCGCTGCTCTGCCTGCTGCGCGTGGGGGCTGAGGACCTCGGTGCTGCGGAGCTGGACATGAGCAAGGTGACTGCAGCATCCCGGGAAGGGCAGGCGGGAGCGTGGCCACCGCTCACAGGGTGGGGACTGCAGAGGTGGCTTTGTGCTGGGGACATCCCCTGGCTCTGCTGTCCCACCGAGGTGAGGGTGGTCACGCAGTCCCTTGAGCCCGGAGGGGTTGTGGGTGTCCCATGGCCTGAGGGTGTCCTGGCTCGGTCCCCGCGGAGGGAACAGCCCCTGCCTGCTCCGCCAGGCTCACAGCCTGCCCCCGCTGCCAGATTGCAGGGAAATGGCACATCACGGCTATGGCCACTGACAATGAGAGCTACCTCCAAAAGAAGGATCAGCTGAAGATGGCGATGACGTCCATCGAGGTCCTGGGGGACGGTGACCTCAACGTCTCCTTTGCCATTCCCACGTAAGTGCCAAGCACTTTGTGTGGGCTTCACTGACCCCCCCCTTACCTCCGCTGGTGGGACTTCACCCGGGTGCCTCCACCCAGCACCCTCCAAAGACTGGGGTGGGGTGAGGCAGGACCTCCAGCTCCGTGCTGCAGAACAGGGGCTCGGCAGAGCTGCATCATGGGGACCCCTTCCTCAGGGGACAGCACCAGCCAGGAGCGGTCCCATCATAAAGCTGAAACTCTGCTGCTCCCGGCAGGGATGCAGCAGGATGATGGGGGACCCCATGATCAAAGCTCTCCCAGCAGGACCAGCCTCATCCCAGAAGCTCAGAAGATGAGCAAGGGAAGGGCTGAGTGACCCCACAGGACACCCCTCAGGACAGCCCAGGCGCCCATTGCTCTGTCCCCATCCCTGCCCTGGCCACACCAGCAAGTCCCATGTTTGGGGAGACCCCGGAGCCCACATCTGCGGGGGGGGGAAGAGGTGTCACAACCCCAGATGAAGCATCCTCTACTGCTTTACAGCCCAGGGCAATGTATGAGACTGGTGTCGATCTACAAGCCAACAGGAGTCCTGGGTCAATACTACAGCTCTGGTGAGTGGGGCCCGGACAGCGGCACTTCCCACAGTCCCCATGTGAAGCAGCCGGTTGTCCCTGGGACATGGCCCTCCTGGGGTCCTCGGTGGGACATCCCTCTGCAGCCGCTGCACCCCAGGGCTGATCTGTGCCAGGGCTGGTGTCCCACAAGTGGGCAGATCCCTCGGCTCCCTCCCTCTGGGATCAGACACGTCCAGACCAGGCTTAAACCCTGGGGAGAAGCAGGTTAATTCTGCAAGGGCTGTGGGTGGCTGTTCCCAAAGATGGAGCGGGAGTCGTTTCCCAGCATTTGTCTGTGCTACTCGGCTCTCTGCAGTGACCATCCCCAGAGCCTCCTGTGGTCCCTTCCCAGTCCCTCTGCTCTGCTGCCGTCTGTCGGCTCAGCAAGTCGATAAACCAGGAGAGGGAGGCACAGAAGACTGGGTGGGCCCAGCCCCCGGCATCCTGGCTCACACTCCTACAGCCTTTGTGCAGGGTGGGAATTCCAGGAGGTGATTGTTCCCTTTCCTTCATGTCCTCCTGCAGACAGGGGCTATAAGACAGCGCAGGTGGTGGACACGGACGGCAAGACATACGCAGTGGTCTTTGCCACCAGAGTGAAGGACGGGAAGACCCTGCACGCCCTGAGGCTCTACAGTGCGTAACCAGTGGTGCTCTGAGCAGGGTGGGCAGCCTGGGGGTGTCCCAGGAGGAGGCCAGGAGCCTCCGTGGGGACCCCTCCTCGGCACTGCCTGCCTGCACTGCGTGGGCTGCAGGAGCGGGACCAGTGTGGCAGGGGAAGGGGCAGTGAGCTGGGGCTAGGTGGGGAGGCTGGGCTCAGGTTCTGCGCCCAGGGGGAGTCCATGGCCTTGGGTCAGCCACTTGTGGAAATGGGGCAAAGAGTGGGGGTCCTGCTGCAGGGGGTGGGGATGGAAACCAGGAAAGGAGACATTGTGCTGGTGCCAGGGCCTCCGCTTCACCTTGTCCCCCGGGATGGGTGTCTCATGTCCCTGGCTACCACCCCTTTCCAGCGCTTTCCCCACTGCCTCCAGCCTTCCCTGGGGCCCATCATCCATCCCACCTCACCTGGGTGCCCCGGAGGTGCGAGGACAGGCCACAGCCTGGCGCTAACTCATGTCCTCGCCCCTAGCCAAGACGCGGGAGGTGAGCCCCAGGCTGGCAGTGCTCTTCAGGAAGCTCGCGAGGCAGAGGAGCTTCACCACCGACATGATCGTCATGCTGCCCGCCCAGGGTGAGCGCTGCCCGCGCGTCTGGGGCTGGTGTGGCTGAGCCAGGACGTGCGGCTCAGTCCATCACTGCCACCGCTCTGCAGTCTGAGCTGCCAGGAGGAAGCGTTGCCCCGGTAGCCAGAGGCACGCTGGCCTGGCATGTCGTGGCATGACACAGCCTTTCTCTTTATTTTCACAGACGAATGCAGCCTCGATGAGGTGTAGGTGAGTTGCTGCAGTGCAACGTGGTGTTTTGCAATGTCCTCAGCTGGAAACTGCCCCCTTGGTGCTCCAGAAAGGGCCACTGTGAGCTCTGGGAGCCACATTGTTTGAACCTGACTCCCAGGTAGGACTGTTCCCTTTGGAGCTGCTCTGCAGTGGAGACCCCCAGGGCGCAGCTGCCCGGTGGTGAGCAAGGGCACTTGAACCAAAACCACCCGGTCAGCGGAGAAAGAGCTGCAGAGCTCCTGCAGCAGCCAGGGCCAGGACTGCATCTGGCCAAAGAGGCCTGGGGCTGTGGACCAGCATAACTGGTCAGAGGTTTGGTTTGTTGTTGGCCCACTCTGGCACGGGATGTCCCACCACACTGGTACACAGTTGTAGGGCTGGCTCCATTGCTGGGGATGGTTGCTCTACAGAGCCAACAGAGACAACTAGTATAGAACAAGCTGATGCTGATGGGGAGCCCTGCTTGGCCTTCTCCACTGGCCTCCCCACTCAAATACTCAGCCCACCTCTCTTGTTTTCCAGGAGGTGCAGGCTGGCTGGTGGCTGCTCCTGCCAAGCAATGCAAGACCCACACTCTGAAGCTCCAGGCTGTTGCTTCCACATCCCTCTTCTGAGCTCAGTGGTCAAGGCCATAACACATCCCCTGCTGCTCCAGCATTCAGTCCCTCCTTCTTGCCAAATAAACAACTCACTCTGGAGCTTGGTGTAACTGTCTGGGGAGAACCTGGGATGCTCAGGCATGTGGTCCCTTCTGCTGGCCTCCAGGTCTGCACTGGGGAGCATCCTGGGCTGCTCACCCAAGTGAGGGCAGTTTTGGAGTCCACCAGGATTTTCCCTCCTGGGTACCTCCCATGGGGCAGGATCATGGCCAGGCAGAGCTCAAATATGTGATGCAGTGAGGCTGCAAATCCCATGGGCATAGGGGGCTGCGTGGAGAAAGGCTGTGGGACTTGGCCACATAACTGAAGTTGGAAGTCTGCAACTACCACCACAATCCGACTGACCTTCCCTTTGCTCACCCTGCTGCAATGGCAGCCTCTGCTCCCCTGGAGGGGCAGGACTCAGCTTGAGGACCTCTCAGGCCCTCAGCTTTGCAGGGTCGGTGGAAGGTGGGTGTCTGAACTCTCTGGACCCAAACCTTCAGACTGGTGTGGGGCTGCGCACGGTCTCTGTCCCTGGGCACTGAGCAGAGAAAGCCTCTGCTGGAGTCAGATTGCCTGCAGTGGTGGCCATCTGCCTCCAGAGGCTGTCTGAATTTGTTTCTGAAATCCCGCTCCATCCTTCCCTTCCTGGTCCATTCAGACCCTCAAATCCACACAGGAGAAACCACAACCCATCTG